TTACATAAAAATACATTTCACCTCAAAATATTGATCGACGTTTTTATAGCATACTCACCTGGTTTATAAGCAAAATCGTCTAAAACTTGTGTTTTTGACATCTTAATAAATTTTCTTCGCAATGTTTCTCGAGGAATCTTGAATTTTTCGGATATGGATCCTAGTGTTTTCCCTTTCGCTAAAGCGTCTTATGCACTTTTTAAATCTTCGGCAGACCATGACTGCCTGCTCGTTACCTTTTTATAGTTACGCACCATTAATATTTGCTATCACCTACACTTAAAATTAACTAAATTACTTAACAATAAGTAGGTACGTAGGAAGGTACCTATAGCATTTGATACATCCTATTTTATTTTATTTATATGCGCCTGCATATAGGCTACCGCAACCGAGCCGATATACCCATATCACCTCATGAAAATACACCCATTCCGCCCCAAAGGTAATTTTTATTTAAAACAGTTACAACAATTTTATTCTTAAAGGGTAATATGAAAATAGGTCATCAATTTGAAGTTAGATAATTAAACATTTAGAAAGATAAGTTTTTAGCCTTCAGTATATTATTTTTCATAATTTTTTTGTTCGTTGAAAATCCTTAAAATTATTTTTTTTTAACGGCCTGAATTTTCATCGTCAAATATCTTAGTTTTTTAATTGATTGGATCACTATTTTTTATTAATAAAAACTACTTTATCTTTAAATATGCAATAAACAAAAGTATAGCAATTAACATATCATTATTTTTGAAATATTGCAAATACCCATATTCCCCGAATACCCATCTCGCCCCGGTCTCCCCTACGTTTGACGTAAGCATTATTTAAAATGCTCTATAACTGGTCTAAAAAAAATTCTTACTGAATTATTTAACAATAATTTATTCGTAAGTAGATTTTTTACAATATCTTTGCATTTTTTTAAAATTTTTGTCTATAATTAAGACAAAAAGTTACGCCCCATACAAGTCTATGTTAATCACATGATTTTCATTTGCATAATTCTTTAAAAATTATCTAAAACAAAAATTCAAAAACTTATGTAAGTAATTCCGCTGTAATTGTCTCGGATCCATTGAAAACTTTTTGGTTTTTCAAATTAAACTTTATAAACATTTTATGGCTGATAATTGCTTGTCAGTACATCAAAAACAATCATCTACTTTTAAGTCGCTACCAACTATTTGTGTCAAAATCAAGCTTTTATGATTTCTGGTGGAGGTCGGAACTAACCTACTTGTAAAAAATACTTGTAATTCGTTATTTAACTGTAATTGTCCCAAAAAATTTTTTATAAATACATTTCAATATGCTTCAAATTTATTCTACCAATAAAATTATTTTTAAATTGTTTATTACAAAGTTTTTTACAATGAAAGCTGAATATTTAAATGGTTAGATTTTAAAATAATGATGGCAACTATGAACAAAGTGTTGAATTTTTATTGTGGGTGTGTGTGTGTTGCGTGTGATGTGTGTATATATATTACAACTTATTTATATTCGCATGCTATACTTGTAAAGTATGATGAACGATCTACATTTTGAGTGTACATTAAGAACATGTATATACGATGCACGGGAACAGTGATCCTACGAGCTTACATCCAAAATCTCGGTGTACGCTGCCAGATGCATCTCAAGGCTCGATGTCAACATATAATCAGGTATATTGATACACAAACACGTAAAGTAGGTTAGGTTAATTGTGCCAGTTGACGACTCGTGTTATTGCCGATCGGTGTGATTTTTTCTTGTGTATTAACGTGATGTGTACGTTAGTTCACCTCCTCAAGAAATTATTAAAAAATCATGTGTATTCACTCAACTATATAATCATAACATCGATGATATATACATTCTTTCATTAGTGTACCTATATATATATATTAAATTTAGTACAACATAAATAAAATTATTATAAATAAACAAATATTCTGTATATTTTTTATTGATAGTAAAAAGATAAAGAGACTATGCTAAATAGATACATGTATGTTCACATGTACAACTTGGGTGTAGATATACATACAATGAGATTCAAGGTGCATCCGGCGGCGTACATCGAGATTTTGGGTGTAAGCTCATAGGATCAATGTTCCCGTACATTGTACATACATGTTCTTTATATGCACTCAAAATTTAAATGTCGTTCATCGGACTCAAGTATAGCATGTACAGTTAAGATGACGCTAGTTTGAAAACGGTGTTTTACAAGGACAATAATTCTCCGTGCAGCAGGCAGTCTGCTTTACTTACCAATGTATATAAAATTTTATTTTACTTTAAAGTAAGAAATTAATGAGCCAAATTATGAAACGACTTTGCACATTGATAACACCCAATAATCTGAGACGTTAAGCTGGGAAAATAATATTATTCTCGAATTAATTCTGAGAGCCTATAAATTGTTGAGCTAAATCTATTAATTTAAATGCTCCAGGTCCTTTTCTTTCTAAAAAATTCTTTTTAATCATTGTTTAGACTATCTGAACAGCTATAAATCATTTTGTAATTACTGCCTAATCCCGTATTTTCTATCGCTCTAAGCAGTTTGGTGTCTCCAATAACCCTGTCCAGTAAATTAGAGATCTCGTGAAGTAAGATATCGTTCAGATTACGAACAGCTGATATTTTCCTGTAAAATCACGTGCTCTCCAACTTACTAGGCAGTTACTACTGTAGACACCAAACGAACATCCCCAAAGTCGGATCCCTGAGCACCGCGCACTCACTCAACAGCACTCGACAACACCACTACACTAAGGGTCCAAAACTGTCTTAAACTGAAAATTGCCCCAAAATTGCAACACTCAGCATAGATGGCGTACTGTAGCTAAGTGGAAAATGGCGTCACTGACACCCTATTACTATAAGTGACGACAATATACCATTATGTGGACTTACTTGAGTGACATCATATCTGTCACGCTCGGGTTAGATCACGGATAGTACATTTTAGTCAATGTGACGCCATTTTTCTCTTAGCTACAGGACGCCTTTTATGCTGACTTTGCGGATCGTAGGGACCTAATTCGAGTAGAGATGCGACTACTCCAACGACGAAGAGCCTGTGCAAATCAATCTAAGTAGCCAAACCTCTCCCACGCACCTCACCTCAAATTGAGTTTATATATATATATNTAATTACTGAATTAACTGAAATAGAAATGTTGAAAAATATACATATTGTTTCATAAGTTTCCTGATGATTGTGTGCTTTATTTTAAAAGTTTTTAAAATTCGCAGACAAACGTGTCGGCGCGATGCGACCGCTCCTGATTGGTTACGCTAGCTGGTTATTGTTAACCTATTGATACAATTTTCTTCAGTGTAAATAATGCCGGAATGTGCATGTAATTACTGAATTAACTGAAATAGAAATGTTGAAAAATATACATATTGTTTCATAAGTTTCCTGATGATTGTGTGCTTTGTATTTTAAAAGTTTTTAAAATTCGCAGACAAACGTGTCGGCGCGATGCGACCGCTCCTGATTGGTTAATCAAAATGGATGCGCAACGCAACACTTTGTATTTTTGCATAATGGTTATGAACAGAACTCTGTTAGTAAATATGGATACCAACCTACCTATGACCCGACAGTAACTTATGAAAATCTCATTTCCGAGTACCCTCTGTGTGAATTTGTTTATTGTAATAATATAAATCATCCATTAAATTGGTGCAGTAGTGTAGACCACCGAAAATATAGGTTGTTTGATGTTGTTGCAATAAATTAAGTTGGAGATTTAAAAAAATTTTTGTCTAGGGGGCTGCTGCCTGCGTGTTTCATCTGCTAATCCCCAAATTTTCATCAAATACTAATACTTTTTTATAAATTTTTCGAAAAATTACATCAAAGAATGGTTTATCCCTATGCAAGTGTAAATCCTACTCATTAAATTTATTTTTTAACTTGTTTGCCTCGAAATTTAATTTTTTAAATTTTCCACTCTAAAAACTACATAATTCGTCTAAATCAATAACATCACGAAAGTTAAGATAAAGAAGTACAGTAAAAATTATCGCTCTTTTGAGGCAATGACCAATCAAATGTAAGCCAGCTGTCAGTAGCCAATACTATTGAGGCTTCACTTGAAGGGAGTTAGAGCGGTACAGTCAGTCTCAAAAGTTAGTTTAAATTGAAAATTGGTGATTTTTATCATTATTCTTGATAAATCATGCGAGTTATTCCATATTGTTCAGCAGAAGCTTACTAATAGGCGAGAAAATAAAAAATTAACACTTCAAAATTGAATTTACGCGGCAATTTTTTATTTCTCGTCTGCTGTATACAGATATAACAATGGCATTTTGATCAAACTTTTAAGTAAAGTGTTTTTCAAACCGTGTTGTCAAGCTTCCTCAAATTCGGATATGTTATTATAATTGTTATTTACAATAAGATAGTAGTTTTTTTAAAGAATTGTAAAAAAAAATTTCCAAGTTATTGGTAAAAATGTAAATGTCGCAACGACGTACTCATAAGATTCTAAGTTTGCTATTTTTTTTCTCAAAAACTGTCACGCTACGGTTCCTTGAATTTTAATATGTTGTTAGCATAATAACATATTGTAATTTTTTGAGGACCGTCGTCAGAAATTTGTTTTTCGCTCTAACCCTCTTAAAGCCATCAAACTTTACAGATAAAATAATATTAACGTAAAAACGTTAACTGTACCGAAAATTCTAATGATTCTTTCTATCACGTAAATATTATACCACAATGCTAACGTATAGCGTCAAAACTGCAATAAAATCTCTAACCTTTTCGATCTTCGATGATGTTAAACTCTACCGAAATTGAAAGAGAAGCTGAATGTACCATTCACGTCGATCTTTCTGATGAAAGTTGAGGCATTTGTCTGATGAAGAAAGAAAAAAACCCTCCCAATTCCCCATTAGTATTTCAGCTTTGCCCGTATACGCTTAATTACCGTCCCGTGGCTGTAACACCAACGACTGACCCCCTAGGTGTGCTAATTATCTTGCAGGTACTTCCCAGAAGCGGGACATCAGGCCAGCCGATTGGCCTCACCCGCATCATTAATTTATCGGGTGCGCCGCCGCGCGTCGGTGTCGTCAACGTTACCACTGCGAGCCCTGTCGGGGTGGCCTGCGCCACCCCGGCTCCTGGCCACCAGAGCAAGCTCGTGTTGACGACGTCACCCAAGCTGGTGCGTACTTCGATTGCAAACATGCTTCAGCGTCCTCCAGCGCCTACAACCAGTCAACCGCAGCAGCAGCCACAACAACAACAACAACAACAACAACAACAACAGTCACCGTCCCCCTCGTTGTCATCGTCGCAACAGCAGCCGCCCGCTAAGAAGAAGCGCGTGACAGATGGAGGAGTCAGTATCCCGGAGCGTCCCGCAGGCCAGCATCAACATGAGCCGCCCGCCGACGTGATGGGCTACCGACGTCGTATAATCGAGCACAAGCTCCGCCGATTGAACGCCATTCGCGACAAGTACAACGAGAATCTGAGCGAATACTACTTCCTGCACAACAGCGGCAACATATTAGATTTCTTGGCCTGGAAAGAGCGCCCGCCCACGCCCCGTTACCTGAGTTTTCTCAAGCAGCATCAACTGGAACCGCAGGAGGTTGCGGGGGGTGCGGAAGAACAGCAGAAGGAGACCATCGCCACTCCTACTACGACTACTGCTGTTGCAGCTGCTGCTACTACTACTACCGCCTCCGCCCGCGCCGCTGCTGCCACCGTAACGTCGCAAACGACGAGCGCTGCTGCGACAACAGTGGCGACGACAACTACGCCATCAGCTGCATCTTCGGAATCAGAGCCGCAACCGGCCACCACAGCGGCAACAGTAGCAACAGTCGCGACCACTTCGTCGTCTACCGTCGCTGCCGTTGCCGGCGCGTCGAGCAGCAGCAGCAGCACAGCTATGACCGCTGCCGTGCAGTCGTCGACAGCCATCAATCCGTCGACGAGCGATTGCAGCAGCAGTAACAGTGGTGGTAACAGTAGTGGCAACAGCAGCAACAACGGTAGCGGCAAACCCGCAGCCACGACTGTAACCGTGGTAACTGTGGCGACGAGCTCGACGCCGATGGTGAGCGATGACCAAGGCGGTGCCGAGGTCGCACTCTCTGGAGGGACGCCCGTCGCTGTCTCGACGACCTTGCCCCCGGCCGTCGCGCAGCTCAGCCAGCAAGGTGAGTTTCTTTGCTCGATACTTTACTAACTTACTTGAGTATACCAATTTTCTTTTTGGTTATTTTTTTTTTCTTTCTCTCTCTCTCTCTCTCTCTCTCTCTCTCTCTCTCTGTTGAAGTTGAAATTTTTTTTGGTCTATCTATGAAAAGGATGTATAACCTAGCAATTTCGTTTGATGTTTATGTTGACTGATCAAGAGGCCCAAGAGTCACGTACTTTGTCATTTTTCACAATCATTGGTGTTTTTTTACTAACTAAACTTGAAGATTCCCTTCTACGCACTTCGTGGCTTAATTATTTACTGATAATATGCTTTTTTTTTTCTCTCTCCTGTGATTCTGTCCACAGCAATGTTTTATTTTAATTTGCACAGTATTCGTAAACACTTGCACAACCTTGAGAGTATATAAATAGATTGTTGGAGCAACCTTTTGATTAAATGACGTTTGATGAAAATGATTAAATTAAATAGGATAAATCATTGCTGCACAACATTGGGCTTCCCTTTAATTTCATTTGAAAATGGAATTAGCACATTTTTAACACATACCATTCAAGTAGGGATGGTTTTATCTAAGCTAACCTCACTTGGGATAAATAATTTAGGGCAAGTACCTGGTCGGCCACAAGGCGGCAGACATGGCATGATCTTTGCCTTCAGAGCAGCAATTCAGTCTTCACCAGTCACAGCTCACCCTTCACCCACTACTACCACTTCTACTATAGCACCTGTCCTTGTCATAGGTGATTACTATACTTAATTGTCGATGTAATGTAGGCTTCTTAATTCTGTGAATTAATCTTTGTGTTGTCATTGTGGATGTTATGACTTTTTTTGTTACTATAACTGTTAATGCGTTAACTTTATAAGAGTTTATGCATCAATGCAATTTTGTTTATCATGTCACTTGTGTAGTCAAAAAAAAAAAATTCTTTTTACTATTTATAAAAACATTTTTTGTTCATTTATCATTAGTCAATATGATTTTGCCATACTTATCTTTTGCTTAATTTTTGAGTCCAAATTATTTTAGTAGCACTTGATACTTTTGGTAGTGTATCTAGGCACCCAAAACTGCATCATGCAAGGACACTTAAAGATTGTTCTGTTAGTACTTGGTGTTATAGTTTCCTACTACGCAGAGATCACTTCAACTTTTTTTTATTTCTCATGACAATTTATTCATAATTCTTTTATTTTAACTTGAAGAATCCCGTATTATTGGTAATGCTGATTCCAGCTGATTATCATGGAACAGTTTTACCTAATATAGGGGAAAAAAAATCAAGCATTTGTGTAAGGCTAAACAACACTACTAATTGTTTGTCCTAAGGGTGCTTTGAAACATTTTAATCTAAGATAGCTAAGAAATTGGTGTATGTTATTAATGTTGATATGAGAGTCTATGTTTCTATTATAACTCGAATGTAAATTCTCTAAAGTAAATAGATAAGCAAAGCTATAATTTCTCCATTGTAGAGCATTAAAAAAAGTACAGGTCTCGGCTTTTCGTGTTGCAATACAAGTGGTCTTCAATTTCATTACAAAGCATGTATAAGTCATCAATTATAAAGTGTGTGAATTAAAATTATTTTTACAGGTAGCACACCGGTCGTTATTGATTCGCCCAAGTCCAATACAGCGACAGCAAATAATCCTGTATCGGACAAGACACCAACGTCTAATCCAGCAGATAAGCTTCTTGGCACTCCTCCGATTTCGTCTGCTCAACCCGTAGTTAAACTTGTAAAATTATCTCCTTCGTCGATAGCGTCATCTTCCTGTGATACTGTCAGTAATCAAGAACAAATTGTCGAAAAAGCCAAACAGGCGAGTTCTCTTTTTCATACCCAGTGCTCATCAAATGTTTTGAGCACCAACTAATCATTTCAATTCCGAGTTTTTAAATATTTAACGATTGTAGCGCTTTGAATTAAATTAATGATTTTCTCATTGACAGGAGGCTTATGTCATGCAGAGGATCGCAGAATTACAAAGGGAAGGCTTATGGTCGGAAAAAAGGTTACCCAAAGTTCAAGAACCTCCTCGACCGAAAACTCATTGGGACTATCTGCTGGAAGAAATGGTGTGGCTCTCAACAGATTTCGCACAAGAAAGAAAATGGAAAAAGTCAGCAGCGAAAAAATGCGCACGGATGGTCCAAAAATACTTCCAAGAAAAAGCTTTACAAGCTCAGAAGGCTGAGAAGTTGGAAGAACTCAGGTTAAAGAAGATTGCTGGCTTCATTGCGAAAGAAATTAAAACGTTTTGGGCTAATGTTGAAAAGGTCATTACTATTATCACTAATTTTTGAACTTTCAATAAATTGTTTTTAATTACCCCACACAATAAGCCGGCATTTGCAAATTTCAGTGTTGTAACTGTGTGCTCGTTGTGGGAACATAAAAAATCTAAAAAATGATTCGTAAACCATCTTGGTTCAGATTTGGTTGAATATTGATCTAGATACATTGCTATAAAATTAATTCTACGAATTATTGTTGCTATAGCTCTCGAATTTATGCATAAATTATGTGTTGCAGTTGGTAGAATATAAGCAACAAACTAGGCTAGAAGAAAAAAGGAAGAAAGCACTGGATCAACACTTGAATTTTATCGTTGATCAAACCGAGAAATATTCAACGTGGTTAACGGAAGGCTTAAACAAAACTGAAGGTAACCAGAGTACGCCAGCGTCGATACACAGTTCTCGAATATCTTCTCCCCTACCGGCTGAAAAGCATTCCGATGGTGTGTTTCGTTTGGTCATCAAAGTTTCTTCTTTTTGTAATATCACGAACAGTTTGCTGTACACTTAATTTTGTTTACTATATAGACGATTTCAAGCCAAATCAAGATTCGGATGACGATGAAGAAACGATAGCAAAGGCAGAAGAAGAAATAAAGTCGAATCACAAAGAAGAAGTAGAACTTCTAAAAAAGGAATCGGAACTTCCTTTAGAAGACTTTCTTAGAGAACTGCCGCCTAATTATCTTGAAGAAAGAGATATGAGTTTATCTCCCGAACTAAGGGAAGTCGTGGAAGAAGAAAGTGATGGAACAAAAGATACAGACTTTACAGTGGCTTCAGAGTTATCTTCTGATGACGAAGACACCATTCAAAAGCAAGAACAATCTGAAAAGAACATTGATCACAAGCAAGAAATCGACGAGTTGAATGTAAGTGATAACTCTTCGTTCAAACGCCAGAGTCGTTCAGAGCCCATGAGTTGATAACCTGAACGTTATTTAATTTAAACTTTTTATGGAAACTCATTGAAATTAAAAGCCCGATTTATCATCCCACCGGCTCTGAATAATCATTTTTAAATTTTCATTTAAATTTTCGATTGTTATTAGCAGAACTCAAACGATATTAGATTTCTAATTATGATTTTAATCCCAGGCTGAAAATGAAATGTCAATTGAACAATTAATGGAAAAATACGGTGCTACTTCTGAAACTACTATGGAGCTTGAGGACAGTGATGAAGGTACACATAATTTTTTAATAAAACTTTATTTTTGAAACAGATATTCTTTAATGAACATGATGATAAATTACCGATCATTGAAGGCTTCCTCATGATAGCTTGTTCGAGGCATTTGTCTGATTTACTAATACTACCATAATGTTAAAGTCAATCTCATTCTTGCGCAAGTTAAACTAAAGACAATTTATTCATAGAATCGGGAAAAGATGAAGATGAAGAAGACGATTCGGAATCTGAGAACGAAACAGAGGACGAAGATGACGTACAAAATAATTCCCAAACTCAAAGTGATGATGATACCACTATTGGTTTGAAGTCGTTACTCGAAGATATATCCGATGAAAACAAAAGTTTCAATGAGACGTCTGAGAAACAAAATGAAATGGATTCGGTCGCAGCTATAGCCGAAAGTATACAGCCAAAAGGAAATACCCTTCTGACTACCAGTGTGAGTTGTAAAAAATTTTAAGCTCTAAAACTTGAGTTATTTGATTATTAGTTATATATTTTAATCAGTGAATTGTGTATTAGAGGAACGAACCTGTAACCCAGCAACATTTGGTTTCGGTCTCAATCCCTATCTAATCACAATATTTGCCGAATATATTAATGAAAAAAAAAAAAAAATTGTCGAATATATGAATATATTAATTTATTGCAATTGCTAATTAAGTATATAAAGAAAGTAATTGTTGATGTAAAAGTTCCTTTGGCGATTGTAAATTTCAAATTTTGTTTTTATACCTTCTCATCCAAGGAGTTTGTGCATTATGAATATCAAACTACTATTTCAGGAAGGTAGAAAGACGTGCAATCACCATGTAATACAAATTTGATAAAAATCTAATTTGTTAAGAAATTGTGATTGCTACAAATTTCATGATAGCAATGTTTTTTTTTTTTTTTTTTTTTCTTCTTCTTCTTTCTCAAAACGTACATAACAAGCAATCAAATGTATTTTTAGGTCGTGACCAAGATTCCATTTTTATTAAAACACTCTCTGCGTGAATATCAACATATCGGATTGGATTGGCTCGTCACGATGTACGAACGAAAATTAAATGGTATTCTTGCCGACGAAATGGGTTTGGGTAAAACAATCCAGACAATAGCTCTCTTGGCGCATTTGGCTTGCGAAAAAGGCAACTGGGGTCCACATTTAATTATAGTACCGACGTCTGTGATGCTTAACTGGGAAATGGAGTGCAAAAAGTGGTGTCCTGGTTTTAAAATCTTGACTTATTACGGTTCTCAAAAAGAGAGGAAACAAAAACGAATGGGATGGACGAAACCAAACGCTTTTCACGTATGCATCACGTCATACAAACTTGTGATACAAGATCATCAAAGCTTCAGAAGAAAAAAATGGAAGTACCTCATTTTGGACGAAGCACAGAATATTAAAAATTTTAAATCTCAGAGGTGGCAGTTGTTGTTGAACTTTCAAACGCAAAGGCGACTGTTGTTGACTGGAACTCCCTTACAGAACAATCTGATGGAGTTGTGGTCTCTAATGCATTTCCTCATGCCAAATGTTTTCCAGTCGCATCGAGAGTTCAAAGAATGGTTTAGCAATCCTGTAACTGGCATGATCGAAGGGAATAGCGAATACAACGAAAACATCATTAGACGTCTCCACAAGGTTAGTAGTGATTTTCTATAGCTTTGCCAAATTTGATTTCGCCACCGACAACGATACTGTACGTCTCTGCAACTGTATTCGTTTTTATATTTATTGGCGATAAACTAAACCTTCTTTATAAAAACTCATGCGTTGAAGTGGAAATAATACAGCGTGTGTATCCTGTCTAAAGAAACATTTTTCAATAAGCAACCTTTAATGAATTATCTGTTGTTATATATACAATATATACAAATATTTGTAGGTTTTACGACCATTTCTATTAAGGAGGTTAAAATGTGAGGTAGAAAAACAGTTACCAAAAAAATACGAGCATGTCGTGGTTTGCAGACTATCGAAGCGACAGAGGTATCTGTACGATGATTTCATGTCAAGAGCAAAGTGAGTAATATTCATCTCACATTCGTACGTCTTATTGCGTTATAAATGTACGTCGCTCAATAATCTCGTTCTAAATTTCAGAACGAAAGAGACCTTAGCTAGCGGAAACTTGCTGAGTGTCATGAACGTTCTTATGCAACTGCGCAAAGTGTGCAATCACCCAAATCTGTTTGAAGTGCGACCGACAGTTTCGCCATTTCAAATGGATGGAATCGATTTTTACACCGCATCTTTGGCATGGAGCGCTCTTGACTACGATCCTTTCAAGGTAAACATCACGTCAAGAGATCATTTCATTCGAATGCACTTTGTCCTTGGTTAGCCCTTCAATAAATCGGAAATCCCATGTTAACTAATCCACTGATTCTACGAGTTCCATGTGGAACAGTCTCGAAAAGCATGGGAAAATTGATTCAAAGCATTGTAAAACTAAATGATACAATTTGTTTAGTTCAAGGGCGCTTTGATACAATAAAACCAATAGGACAAATTTAATTTTACAAATTATTGAGTAACACAACTTGTATGCAAATGTGTTATAAAGTAAATAACATGTGACGCAATTTTCAGCACATTAACCTTTCCTGCTTGAACCTGCACCTCGTTGACCTAGAATTTACCGTCACTGCATTTGTGGCTCACAGACTAAAGAAGTTAAAAACACCGAGAAAACTTATCGAAGAGATTGACAGTTACCCAGAGCCTCCTCCAAGGTGTCCATCAGGGAAGATAAAAATCCATGTTCGGTTGTCGAATCAAGTGAGCAAAGCAAATACTGCCCCACAACTAAATGCGCAACAGATGAAAATGAAAAGTTTTCCTGGTATTTTACCGACTCCTCGAGTAGGGACGTCGCCCTTAGTGAGATCTGCAAACAGTCAAACTCCTACTGGCCAAGGTAATTTGAACAGTCATACTTCTGTCTTGGTATTAACAACGTTAAAATTATAAACAAAACAAAATTTTACATAAAAATTTTTTCCGTAGGTGTAACGTTAAAAGTGGCTGGTGGACAGCAAATGCAAGGTTTCTCTCTTCAGTTGGTTCCACATCAGGGTGGCGTTAAAGGTAATATAGTACGCTATGAATGTGTGAAATTCGAAAGCACTATCGATCAGTGATTGTATTGTTGCAAACGCTTTTGCAGTAGTGCGAGATCAAACGTACTCGAACCAGCTTGTTCATTTTTAAACTTATATAATCAAATGAGCATTCTAATGCTGAGTATACATCGTTTGAACGAATAATCTAATGGCTTATAATTTAAATCTTACAACTTATGATTGTAGCAATTCCAGTACAAACGGTTCCTCAAAGTGTGCATGGAACTGCATCAGCAACACCAACATCGGCGAATATTAGTACGCACAAAATCAGCGTCAGTACTGAAAACACCAGAGATGGAACTCAGAAATTAATTTACACGGTAAAACAGGGCGAAAAAGCCAGTTTTGCTCGCTTGGTTCAGACGTCAACTGGCAATCACCTTATCCTAACGAATCCAAATCAGACATCCAATGCTCGTAAGGATACATCACAATGAACCATATCGTGAAAAATAAGTGTCATCTTTAAGCATGTTATGTATTTTCAGTTTCTTTCCCAGTTATAACGCCGAGCGGTCAGAGGTTGCATGTTCTTCCGCAAAAGCACAGGCCGGGCTTGTCGTCGATGTCGGTCAACAAAGTTATCGGCAACGTTGTCACGTCGACTGGAGGAATAGTCAACAAACCTGTTATGCGAGTTTCGCCTCTCAACATATCGACGTCACAGTCTACCGGCCAAGTTCAAGTACAGTCGCAACAAATCCGTGCGGTGAGAAACATCCAAAAAAATTCCGAGAAAAATCCAACTAAAGAAATTCCAAAGTCTGAGTTTTACTTGGTACGTTACTTTTTTTTTTCTATTAAGAGATAATTAAATGTTTTCATTGGAGTAATTGATTTAACTTACGTTACAGCCGGAATTAGAATTGATGAGGCAACAGAAACTCCACGCCAAGCTAAAAACACTGGCTAACGTGAATGAGAAAAAATGTGCTGCTTTTCCATTGTATGGTAAAGATCTATTTTCTACGTTAAAAGTAACACAACCAGCAAAAGGTTGCGAATGGCCTAACAGCTGGTTTAATTGCGCTTCGGCAAAGCAGTCTGTTCGCACGCGTCGGCAGTACTTTGCGTGCACCGAAAGTTTGTCTAAAGCTATTAAATCCATCGAGCAGGTTGTAGAAGAGATGAAAGATATCTTTGATAAATTTATGATCTACGTACCAGCGGCGCAGGCGTCGCGACCTCGTTTTCACGTCTCGCATCCTTCACCGTCCAAACTCTGGCAAAATCAACGTCTCGAGCTCGAGTTGAATCATCATTTGTCGTCAAAGGTGTCACTGTTCCATCCAATCACGAGGTCGATGCAAACACAATTCCCGGATGTGAGACTGATTCAGTACGACTGTGGAAAATTACAGTCGCTAGATTTATTGCTAAGAAAACTGAAATACGGTGATCACAGAGTGTTGATCTTCACCCAAATGACCAGGATGCTAGACGTGCTTGAAGCCTTCCTAAATTACCACGGTTACATTTACCTCAGACTCGACGGTGCCACGCGTGTCGATCAACGACAAGTATGTTTGGCTTTTTAAAAAATCTGCTCTTCATCAACAACAATTGATTTCATTAATTTACATTTTTTTTTATTGTAGGTTTTGATGGAACGCTTCAACAACGACAAGAGGATTTTCTGCTTTATTCTATCAACAAGATCTGGCGGTATCGGTGTTAACTTGACCGGTGCCGATACAGTGGTGTTTTACGATAGTGACTGGAATCCTACCATGGATGCTCAAGCACAAGACAGGTGTCACAGGATAGGGCAAACTAGGGATGTTCACATTTACAGATTGATCAGTGAAAGGACCGTGGAAGAAAACATTTTGAAGAAAGCCAATCAGAAGAGGTTGCTTGGAGATCTTGCGATAGAAGGAGGAAATTTCACCACTGCCTACTTCAAAAGCGTATGTCATGGATTTTTTATTTATTTGACGTTTTAAAGGGTATTGAAACTGATGTTTTTATTTTTAAAAACAGTCTACGATTCAAGATCTGTTCAATGTCGATCAATCCGAGACCGATGCTTCAGAGCGAATGGCTGAAGTACTGGAGCAAAGTAAGGATAGAGAGAGGAATTTGCAGAAAGAAACGACTCAATCAGATGAAAAAACAGCAATGGGTGCATTGGAAAGTGCTTTGGCTGCAGTTGAAGAAGATCTTGACGTGCAAGCTGCCAAAACTGCTAAGGCAGAAGCTGTGGCGGACTTAGCTGAGTTTGACGAAAATATCCCCGTGGATGATGCCGATAACGATGAAGCACAGATCAGCAAAGCTGAGATGGAAGTTCGAAATCTCGTTTCTCAGGTAATGTACATTTTTTACTTCAGGTATCAGCAAACTGTGATATCGCAGTACTCGCTTCCGACCACAAAACTGTTAATTATTACTGTTTTTGTTATAATACCATAAGCGAGATAATAAAGTTTCTCTATTAAAACTCGTGGGTTTTAAGTGGAAATCATATGACCTGCGTATCCTGTCTAGAGATACAACCGTAGAATCGTTTTGAAAATATAATCTAACGATGACGATTACGATAACAATTCATTATTAATTATTATTAACATACCAATTGATTTATGTACTTTTTTTTTTTGGTTTTTTTTTTTTNTTTTTTTTTTTTTTTTTTTTTTTTTTTTTTTTTTTTTTTTTTTTTTATTTAGCTAACTCCCATTGAGCGCTTCGCCATGCGCTTTGTCGAAGAGTCGGACGGTATGTTCTCTGCTGCTCAACTTGCGGCTGCCGAGCGCGAACTTGAAGAACAAAAGAAGGAATGGGAACTTGACAGGCTGCGTGCTATGCGTGAGGAAGAAGAGCGCCAGATGCGCATGACGGACGACGACGAGAACCCAATTACTTTCACACGCGAGGATGCTCAAAATCAGGTTAATAATTCAAGCAATTCTAGGCGACGGGGTAAGGGTAGGAGGCCATCGCGGCCAAGCGCTACTATTAAGCGACGCGTGCGAGAAAATCGAAGACTGTCTGCGCGTCAGAGTAGGAGACAGACTAGAATTAGGTCGTGTCATTATAGAAATGTAGAGGAGGAGAAAGAGGGTAGTTCGTCGGCGGTGTCTTCAGAGAGTGAGTCGGAGACCGTGTCGATGTCCAACTCCGAGTCAAACGACGAAGACATCGCCGAGGAGGTAGGTACCAGTTCGGATGAAGAACGTAAGTCCAATCAAACTGATACTTCTGACAAAGACGATAACGAAGACGAGGAAGACAATTCAGAAGAAGACGAAATCGGTGGCAGAATCGCGAAAAGGCGAAAGAAAAATAGCATACTCCTTAAAGTGAAAAAGAATCACTTGGATCTTAATAGTCCAAGAACGAGATCGAGAGGAGACGTCAAAATTAACTTGTGGACTCTAGATGTCAGTCCCTTATTGCCGGAGGGTAAATCTCGTCACAGATCAAGAAAATCAAAACACAGTTTATCCGAAATAGCGGATGATAGTGATGCCAAAACTGTTTCCGACTACCGCGACAATTCGACGAGAAAAATCAACGATACTTCCACGAATTCAAGTGCAGATGAAAACATGAGCGTCGAAGACGACACAGAACTGCATGAGACTGGCATCGAAAAAAACGATAATACGGTAGAAATAAGAACAAGACGTTCGTCTCGTTTTAGTAATAAATCGTCTGATAAAGAGAAAGTTGCATGCGGTTTACCTAACGTAATCGTGAACGAAGTCAAATCGACGTGCCAAAAAACAATTATACCGACTGGTCAAGAAGCTCAGCAGACCGAAAGCAAGGATCACGTCGTCGGTACGCCTAACAAATGTGGCCGGACAAGAAAGCAATCGCAATCGATTGTTGAATCTAATTCAATAACGTATTCCACTAGGTCTAGCAACAAGTTGGGACGATCGCCCAATGATAAAAAAGTCATGTCGCTCAGTGTTGATAGTAAAGAGGAGTTGGAAATCTGTGATATTAACGATACTAGTAGCAAACATAAAAAAAGTGTAGAAAGTAATAGTATCGTTAACGCTAGACTTTTAGAAGAACCACTTAGGCCCAAGAATGCGATTGTAACAAGTGATGTACCAAACAAAGAGGACGAAGTGACAAAAGCACCACCAATACCAGAAAACTATGAACAGTTTGAAAGTTCCGAGAAACCAAGTGAATCGTATCTGTTTGAAAAGGAACGCTCTCCCAGTCCGATTCTCAGCTTGAGAAAAGCCAAAATAACGCGCTCGTACGGTCGAGCTCGCGTGACTGAACCAAAAATTAAACCAGCGATAGTAATGGTTGTGCCGCCTGACTTGCGAGAGTCCCAACAGATGAAGTCTCCTGAGAAACTGAGCAGTGGCTCGGATCAAGATCACCATTTGTTGTTGTCGCCGATGGACATCGAAGAATTTTCTCCAGAGAGGGAAATTTGCGAAAACGACGTTCCATCCGTCAGAGAGCAGTCTCCGCTCAGGGCCAGTCCGATTCTCAGTTCAAGTTCGAGGTTTACCAAGAGTACCCGCTCAGCTGCTGCTGCTGCTGCTGCTGCTCGATCCACAGAGATGACGCATAAACAACAGGTAACTTCTTCTGAATCTAAAAACAAAACGATAGACCATAGACCCGTGGAGAAGGCGAAAGCCGCTGACAAGATAAAAACTCCGAGTATTGAGTCGACGGTATCAGTTGTTGCAGAAGCGTCTAGCAGTGGTTCTTGTAAGGTTGCCGCTGAAAATGTCCAAAACGAGCAGCTGACGAAAGGTAAGATGACTAGGTCGTCGGCGCGATTAGCTTCAGACACCAAAACCAAAGAAAAAACTATCAACGCACCAGAAGCGCCGTCGGATCAATCAATTGTTGTTCCTACTGCTAATGCTGCCATTACTACAAATGAGAAAGAAAAAGCTCCAATTTTCGTGTCCAAGATCGAATCTACGAAAAAAATCGCCGACGGCGATGAGCAGCCGCCTGTAAGAATGAAAATCACTCGCTCGAAAGATCCAACCAAAGTACAAACGTCCGATGAGTTACATTCCAAAAATAATACAACGGCATCGAGTGATATAGCCATGAATTCAAGTAAAAGGCCATCCGATAAGCTCAAGAGCCCTGAGAGACAGCCCACGGTGGTGGACGGGCCAACGTCTGCCGATTTGAGTTTCGAGACACCGAAAATCACGACGGAGAAAATTACAAGCCCAGATAGACCTAACGAATCTTTCACTTCGCCGTCGCAGGAGAAACCCACCTCTGAAAACGATGTTCCTGTGGCGAAGAAACTTCCAGCGTCGAATTTAAAATCTCCCCACGCGCTGGTACTCCCAGAGTCCAAGCAGTCCATTAAAATAGAGTCAACGTCAGTTTTGGGAGTGACAACAAGACGGTCGCGAGTTAATTGCAGCGCAGAAACTTCATCTGAATCGAGTAGCAACAACAACAGCAGCACAGCAACAAAAGCGAATGTCGTAAAGCCAATCGAACCACAACTCATGAAAACCAGCAACTCGATCGAAAGTGGCGGTTCTATGATCGAAGCGAGAATCGAGAAACACAGCAGTTTGGTTGACATACCGTTGCTTGAGCAACCGCGTGCGCGCTCGAACGTTCAGCAGGTGCCAAACCCTCTGAACCGACGCTTCCAGCAGAGCTTGATCGCCAAACCAGGAGTAGTTGCGGGGTTGCGTCGTCGGCCCGATACGCCAATGCCCGTCTTTTACGCCGTCCGTCCAGTGACAAGGTCCCTGTCGGGTAACCACAATAACCACAGTAACAACGGTAACAGCTCGGACGCCGAGTGTAGCAACAGCGGTAATTTTTGCTCTCCATCTGGGCTAATGAAGCTCGGCCCACGGAGTCCTCGAATTCCCGTAGACAACGGCTTCGTCGTGCCGCCCTCGCCTCCGATCGGGGTGCGCCGAGCCCGCTCGACGACCTACATCAAGATGTCCGATCGTCTTGCCTTGGAACGCAAGGAAATCGTTGTGCCGCAAAGCAGAGGTCTTGTGCGCGATCCAGCCTTGACCGAGAGCCTGACCATCAACCGTGTGATCTCCAAGCGAAGGCCTGACACGCCGATGCCTTCGCCAGAGCAGCAGTTGGCAGCCAAGATGCCGAGAACAAGCCTAGATAATTATTTACCTGTGCCGAGATCGTTGCCATCCATTCCAAAGTTGAGGCAACATCATCAGGTGCCATCGATCCGCAAAGCGTTACCATCATCCCCCCTCGCGCAACCACTGGCAGAGTACGTAACGCCCAAGAGCCTAGCCGAAGCTCAACAGCCACAGCCATCGCCACCGCGACCATCAACTCCACCATCACCACCGCCACCGCCATCATCACCGCCAACTCCGCCACCCGTACCAGCTCCACTGGTTCAAGAATTGTTGACGGATGCTGAGGAGATAGTGGACAGTGCGAACTCGAACGGCAACTCGTTAGACTTGGACGAGCCAGTGCTCCCGGTGCACGAGAAGCCTCAACGCACGGCCAAGGTCGTGGCCATTCTTAGCCTCGACACGAAGAGTAACAGCTCCAAAGCAGGATACGGTCTGAGCACGCCGCAGAAAACAAAGCCTACCTCCGAAATCTCGGTCATCAACAACAGCCCGAGATCCTCGAGACCAAGCAGAGCAGCAGCTCACCAAGCCATGAGAGCCTTAACAGCAGCAAGCATCGAGGATAGTAGCAGCAATAGTAGCAGCAGCAGCAGCGGCAATCCGATGCCAGCTACGGATGTGGATAACGAGTCTGAGTTAGACGACGTGGAAATGCTCCCGAGCAAGCGTTTTAAGCGCACTCGCTCCCAGAGCAATCAGTCGGTGGTAATGGCCAAACCAGCGACTAGCAGCCCGAGGATTGCGTCGGTCGAGTTGGAAGACGACGAAAAAATTCCGCCTAAGAGGTCGGCTCGTTTGAACGCGGCCTCCTCCGTTCCTCCTCTTTCTTCCACATCCGCATCTGCTTCGACAAATGACAAATTAAATAACCCAGCAATATAAAAATCACTGAATGACTGAATAAGTATATCAAGTGCGCGACGACTGATCGAAGAGGACAGACAGTTCTGCTCAGCGATCGAGCTCTACTCTGACTCTCCTAATTCTGCGCCGATGACTACATAAATATTAATATATGCATATTTACGAAGTCTGTTGTATTATAAACGAAATAGTTGAGGTAAAAAACATAAACGCAATGTCTTGTAGTCTCTATGGTATTCAAGTCTAAGGTCATGAATATATACATATATTCTCATGCCAGCACTCGCAAGTTGACAATGGGCGTAACGCGTTTTCTCGTTTTATTTTGTAATATTAATAGACAAAAGAGAAACGCGCCTGCCTTTGATGTACATAACAATGATAAATACAATTGATTAATTGTTAAGGTTCAAGCGATTCGAAAACAGAGCTTTGAAATAAAATGTATGAATATATTTAATTAGTAATAATTTGATGTTTTTTGTTTTTTTTTTTAACGACGTTGCGTTGTTAGTTGTAACTGTTTTTATATTCTCACCCTTGTTCTTCGGCCCTTTTGTAAATGAATTTCTTTCGTTATTTTATTATTTGTATGCATTTCGTGATGACAGACAACAATTATTAGACTCTCATGACTGTATCATATTAAATATATATTTTTTGTTTAATGCAAATAAATGGGAAATCGGGGTGACAAAATAAGAAAAGATTTAAACGATGTTTTTAGCTATACATCGTGTTTTAAGATACTTTGAAAGCAGTGTCGAAAGTATTTAATAGAATTTTTGGATTTCTATCTTTTCTCTCTCTCTCTCTCTCTCTCTCTCTCTCTCTCTCTCTCTCTCTCGTGTACAAATACGATTTCGCGTGTAGTGTATCCAAAAAATCTAACAACTAAAAAGGTCACGTTTCTCGACGCCTGCGATTGTTTAATCTGAGCGAAAGTTGTTTCCTACTGATTAATTAGTTATATATTAACAGAGAATGGTTACATATAGTTCATAAGTTGCGTGCTTGTATTTTGTATGATCGAATTTAGCCTTAAAAGAAAAGGAAATAAACGAAATATTCCTTGCTATGAACGAACAAAAAATATAACGTGTTTTCTTATTTCTTGGTGACATTTCCAAGTCTGTTCGATCAAAGGTTCAGTTCCGTTTTGGTGTCAATAATTTTTGCTCAGTGTGCTTGTTTATATTTTAAAATTTTTCTTGCACGTTTTTTGCATCACTATCAGTTTGGTGTGGCAAGGCTGTCATGACCGCACAGTAACGCATAGATTGTTTTTCTCTCCTAGTAATTTTTTGTTGATCAAAACAACTTAAGTCAAACATTCAAATTACTAAATTTATTTAAAATGGCACCAAAACACTGCCTTTGCCATTCCAAACTTGGATAGAGCCAAGATATAAGCAGGCACAAATATGAGCGTTCACGAGGATTATTTCTGACAATTATATCTTAAAATTCATCGGGATACGTTAAAATGGGATGAGTCTTTGAACGAACTAGATGAGGATTATCCTATTTAATCCTTATTCTCCCTTTTTTTACTAAAAATTGCGAGTATCACTCAATATTTTTTTACTCATCTTTTTTTTAAAAACATTCAACAGGATTCTAAGATTAATAGGAATTGTAATAGTCAAAGTCGATTTTCCTTTTTTTTTTAAATTCACTTTTTAAATTAATTTAATTGGAGAACTTGCAGCAATATTTTTTTTAAATGTTCATTTTGCTGCCAATAATAAATGAATTAAATGCATTCTATAACATAAAGTTATATAATTGCCTCTTTCAATTCATGCTATCATCAAGTAGAACAATATTAAGTGTGTAACTCTTGCATTAAATCATTATTTTATACTTTTTTCAATCATTTTTCAAGTTTCATTGATACTTAAAATATTTTTTCATTATGTTCTATTTGTTGAATTTTCGATTCATTGCAAATGACCTCGTAAAACTATTTTTTATAACTTTCCAATTCTGATCAGTACCAGGAGCAAATATGTCAGGAGACCGAAGATTATTCCATCTTGTACATAATATACAAAATGAATTAATTTGCTGAAAAAAAAATTTTAAACTCACTTCATGTTGCAATTTACAGATTTGGTTATCAGATAACACCATGGAGCAAATGCCGGTTAGTATATGACAAAAATCATACCTTAACTTCACTTATTAAAACTTTTTTTTTTAACCTTATTGCACGCTTTTGTAGTATGTATTAGTCACTAATGCATTTTTTTCTTACATGTGACGTAAAATTGTTAACAAATAGTGTGAGCACATTTTCATTGTAAGATAAATAGTGATCTAATGACGACTCGTTGCGTTACGATAAGTGTAACAGCAGTAGCAATGACATAAGCTTTTTTCATCTTTTAATCAGATGTGGTGTCCACCAACTCCCCCCACGTCCGACAATGACGTGTACATCGATTACTCCCTGGGCTTCCTCTACGATGGTACTCCAATGCCGGAATCGCAATTGCCGCCAATTTACGTGAAAAAGGATTTGAAGAGACCTCGAATCGAAACTGGACACAGTGACAATAAAGATAGTAAGAGATGCTCTTATAAAAAATCAAATAATTTACCCGAGTTGTGAACTCGCATTAAACCCAGTACTTTAAATTCAGACGTCAGATCAGTCTCTTGCGATAATCCCCCGGTCATGTTGAACGACGAATTTTCCATTGTCTCAGGTCGTCGACCACCTAAGGTGAGACACAAAGATGACTCGGTGTATGCTCCGAGGTCGCTCTTTGACAGACCAGCCCCAGCAATGTCGAAAATGCGCCGAGATCTCAAGTTGCATAAATATCGTAACATGATGAGACCGCCCTTGGCAATGGGTAGTGGCATGAAGCCGTCGCCTACAATGAAATCCAATGGCGATCCAGAGCCATTCCTCGAATGGATGATCCACGAGGACTGGGCCCTGCTTCAGGCTATTCAGATCTATCAAGGCTTGAACCTGAATCTATTGACCCCGTCGCCTGGTCACTCTGCCAATTGGGACCTAGTGGCTGATATCGTCAACAACGTCTCGAGGATCTACAGGTCAACTAAGCAGTGCAGGATAAGGTACGACTCCATTATCGTGCCACGAGAGGAGGGCAAGCTGCTCTACGCTGATACGACTTCAAAGAAGCAGAAGAAACAAAAGAGCATCTGCAAGGCTCCACAAGTGGTTGAGGTAATGAATCTCTTTGCTCTCTTGTTTTCTAGGATACACTGTTTAATTTTGTCAAATCTTTTGATTAATTTCAGTATCAAAGCAAGATCAATCGACCGATGCGTACGTCGCAGTTGTACAATCAAGATAAGAATAATTTCTTCTCAAATATGTGCTCTCAGAGATTCGATATCATTAGATCGGTGTCTAACAAACGCTCGCTCACGACGAGGCCTTTGTCGGTAAATCCGATAATGAAGAATCCAAAGCACGCAGCTGTTCTGGCCGACAGTGGTATCAATTACGATAATCCACTGACGCCGGTTGAAGTCATTATTCAAAAAAACGAGAGAATAAAAGAGCAAAAAGAAAAGGAAAGGCTGAAAAATGCTGCCGCTTCGGTAAGTTTTCTCAATGCTACGTGGTTCTAATTTTGTTGACGTGTATCTCGCGTTGCTCCAACAAGTAACGCATCTTTCATGTAAATAAAACAAATTTTTTATTAATTTTTTCACTTAGTAATAGTACATGCCGAGTACGTAAATAAGCACTTTTTTTTTGTGACGTACGAGTTTTTTTTCATTATTTATTTTATTTCATTTTTTTCTATGTAATAAAGTATCTTAAAACAGAATCTTTAAAATATTGAGCTAAGTAACGTTAGTCAAAATATCACTCAACCTGTTGATTTTTTCGTATTTATAATTATATAATGAAAAGATATAAAAATCATAACATAATTGTGATTTTATTTTAGACAAGAAAATAATAAGATTATAACACTAAGGGACCCCTTTTGTAAATGAATTTCTTTCGTTATTTTATTATTTGTATGCATTTCGTGATGACAGACAACAATTATTAGACTCTCATGACTGTATCATATTAAATATATATTTTTTGTTTAATGCAAATAAATGGGAAATCGNTTTTCGTATTTATAATTATATAATGAAAAGATATAAAAATCATAACATAATTGTGATTTTATTTTAGACAAGAAAATAATAAGATTATAACACTAAGGGACCTTATCACCAACTCTGACAAGATATAGTCCTCTTCTACCTCTTCTTTGGCCTTTTATTTAAGTTAAACTAAATTTCGATCATGTAGGGTCAACTTCGAAAATAAATTACGCAATTGTATGTACAATAGTGTAATATACTATATTTATAAGTGTTTAATGTGTAACACTTCATGTCAAAAATGTTAGCGTTACGATTTTCGTCATTAATGGTTCCTGTATTTACTTCTAACTACACTACAACGTCAATTTTTCCTTTCTTTCTCCATCTTATTTTTTTTTTCACACCAAGATCATTTATTTTATCTTTTTTCTAACATCAAATCTCAACACAGAGCAAAAAAGACACCGATAATGCATATTCGTACACGTTTACTCAATTTCAGACAATAACAACAGAACAGCAGCAGCAAACGGCAGCGCGCCTCGTCCAGCAGCAACAGATCATCGCGCAGCAGGCCCAACAAAACGTTCAAGCGCAGCAGCAAGGTCAACAAGTATCTACGAGTCCCGGACCCTCAGCGAGCGGTATCGGAGCAATGAAGGCGGTCGGCAATGTAGCTGCTGCGGCAAACTCACCGAGCATGGTGAGCCCCAGTGGCAAAGCTCGCGTTGCGGTAACAGGGGCTGGGGGCACCGCGTTAGGACTCCAGGGTAGCACGCCGACGACTATTGTGACCAATTTGGGCCAAAGGCTCGTAGCCACGGCACAAAATGCCGCAGTATTGGCCCAAAAGAATAATCTTATAAGCTACGCCGTGAACGCAGCCAACAAGAACCTAACGCCCGCTCAAATTCAGTACATCAAGCAGCAGCAGCAGTTGCGTCAGCAGCAACAGCTCAAAGTCATGCAGGCCCAAGTCCAAGCTGCCGGGGGACAAAAGATGTCTGTCGCGGTTTCGGCCGCCACTGCACAGCAGCGCAATGCTGTGCTCTTGAAGCAGCAACAAGCTGCTATAGCTGCTGCCACTATCGCTTCAGGAGGGAGCGTCGGTGCAGTTATTGCTCAGCAACAGGCAGCAGTAGCTGGGAAGCAAACTCTAGCTACGCGCCAAGTAAATGAACCTTTTCCCTCCCCAATAGCGATCGGAGGATAAAAAAGAGAAACCATCGCCAACGCTCTGATTGATTTTTAGGTCTCGGAAGCAGACATGGCCGCGCTGCTCAAGCGCCAGCAGCAGCAACAGCTCCAACAGGGTAAGGCGGTGGCTCAGGTTCAAGTGACGTCTCAAGCTGGCTTGGCCGCGGCCCAAGTCTACGCGACGCAGGCAGGCTTGCAGGTACAGCAGGGTACATCGGCAACTGGTACACCCGTGGTGGTCAAAACAGCGGCAGGCACAGTACGCGCAGCCACGCAATTTCGGCCGTTGACGCTCAATCAGCAGCAGCTTTTAGCTCAACGAAAACTTGCCAGTGGCCAAAAAGTGGCGCAGTTGGCTCAGGTCACCGCCAAGGGTGGCGTACCTTTGCTTGTCCAGCAGAAAGCCGGCCTACCCGGCACAATGACTGTGCAACAACTACAGGTTATGAAACCCGTACAGGCCGGCGTTTCTGGCATTCAACAGTTTGCCCAAGTAAGTTTTGCATTTTATTTTCGTTTTATCATGAAAAATGGATAAATAAATGGATCTGAAATTCGTGAGTAACACACAAAATATATTGTTGTGGCAGGTGACGGCAGGACAAACGAATACTCAGCCGAGTCAAGTTGTAATAACCAAACCTCAGATGCAGACGCGCGTGATTCCTGTATCAGCGGCAGCGGCGGCGATCAAACAGGGTACGATTCAGGTTGTAACAGCAAGCACAGCGCAACTACGGCAAGGAACGCAAGGTTTAGTCAAGCCGATTATTAATACTGCGCGAGCCAGTC